TCTATCTATCTATCTATCTATCTATCTATCTATCTATCTATCTATCTGTCTGTCTATCTATCTATCTATCTATCTATCTATCTATCTATCTATCTATCTATCTCCCACCCCACCCCGCCCCTAAAAATATACAAACCCATAACCCACTCACAGATACTTCTCAGACATCTCAGTATAAAAATCATCCAGATGTAGATCTGACGGTGAGATACTCAAGGTTCCCTGCCCAAAGTCCTTGTTGTCGAAGATGGTCGTGTCCTTGTTGATGGTGTCTGTGAGGATGAAGTGGAAGCCGTACATAGGGTTGCTGTTGTCGTTACGGTCCAAGTTCCACAGAAGTTGCTCTGCCATGTCCCGACCGCCGATGAACACAATGCCCATAGACCTGTCTTTGGTCGTCTGTGGTAGGAGAAGAGGAGAATGAATGTGGCGGTTAAAGGGCTAATTTAAGATATTTCAAGGGTTAATTAGAGATTAACACAGTGTCCAGAGACCCGTCTTTGGCCGTCTGTTGTAGGAGAAGAATGAATAAGGTGGCTGATTTGAGAAATGGCAACGGTTAATTAGCTTATATTTTAGCAGTCTGTTGAAGAAGGTGAGGAGAATGTGGTACCTGAGAGGTTAATCGGCCTTAGTCTTTCAGTTATAATGCTTATTTTTAAAACCTAACTTTCTTTGGCAGTTTGAAAATATGGCAGGTATGGCAAATGGTGTGTTTTGATGGTTAATTTGTTTTATTCGTTTTCCAGCAGAATGATGAAGACAAGAACGCATTAGTTTAAGAGTAAACGTGTTGTAACATTTTAGATAAGACAAAGTGTAATAATTTGCTCCGTCAGGGAAATGAACTGGCAGTTTGCTTTCATCGGCTTTCGCTACAACTGCTGCTGATTCTGCTGTTGCTGCTGTTGCTGCTGTCACTACTTCTGCCACATGATATTGATGTTGCTGTAGCTATTGCTGCTGCTGTTGCTTCTGGAAGTAATGCCGCCACTGTTACTGCGCTGGTGGTTGTGTTGCTGCTACTGTAACTAGCAAAACTATGCGTTATGATCTAAGCTTTCAACTCAGACAACGTGAGTTCGATTCCTAGAAAGAGGCAAAAACACGCTTTAGCGTTGCTCCGCTTTCGTGATTTTAAAAAATACCCTCTTCTATGAGTGTATGGGAGAGAAGGAAACTATAGACAGAGAGGGTGAAAGAGAGAGAGAGAGCGAGAGAGAGAAAGAGAGAGAGAGAGAGAGAGAGAGAGAGAGAGAGAGAAAGAGAG